CCGGAGGGGTTAAGAAGAAGAAGGGCCCAGGCCTAAACTATAACCAAAGATTAACCATAACTTTAACCCACCAAGACAAAACTACAATCACCCTAACAACTATAGTTTAACCTAAGGTGTAAAGGCTCCTACCACTTTTGACTTCTAGAGTTTACCCCCCTAATTTGCCTAGAAGGTTCATTTCCAATACCTCGATATTTTCATCATATCTGAAAGGATAAAGTGGAACTTATAGACCAAGGTCTTCCGGATTCATTGAACTACAACCCTTCACCTCGTTTTAATGGAAATTTCCATTGGCTACTCCTTGGTGGGTCAAACTTGAAGTTAAGGTAGTCGCGGGGTATGTGAAGAAGTTATTCATTTTAGAGATTCAATATTTGAAAGCATCCGCAGCGATAGGCTAACTACCACAGCAAACACTAAACTATTAAGTAAACCTAGAACCCACTATAAGACCAATTGGAGAAATGCACGGTGGAGCATGTCGTGGTGCAGGAGTGTACAAAGATGCAACGGTTCGCCAGATTGAGTTTCCTCTCATCAAAGCCTATATGCCTACTTTAGGGTATGCCCTGGTAGGCAAAAGTTATAAGAAAGCGGGGGTTGGAGATTTACCCCGAGGGTTATTTTCTATTAAAGGAACAGGGGACAACCAGGGAGGGTTTTAACCACTCCTATAACAGAGGCCGTAGCGAAAGACCCGAAAGCGATTGCTAAATTATGAAAACAGGTTTTATCTTGAAACTCCACCGTTATTACCTGAAACCTAAAAAGGGTAAGTATTCCCATATAATACGTGTCGTACGTAGGGGGGATAGAATCACCTGTAAATATAATCAGAGGAAAGGAAGCCCTTCGATATAGCGGACAGCAGCCCCAACCTAGTCCGCACCAGAAGGTGATTATAGTTCAATTGGTAAGAACGTCAGTTTGTGGTATTGAAGCGTCTGGGTTCGAGTCCCAGTATTCACCCTATCTCCCACCTCCCTCCTCCTTATTCTTATATTTTGGATTTATTCCCTTATTATATTTCCCTCCTATTTATACCCTTATTTAGTTCCCTAACTTCTATTCCTTATACCCCCCCTTTGTTTGGTCGGAATACCCTCGTACGGCTAGGACCCCCCGTGTGGCTCCACAGGGTACTACTACCCTACGGAGTCTCACAGGAGGCCTCCGGTCTGCCCAAACTACTTTGCCAGATTCAGAGGGTAGTGACAGGCTCTTGATAGGATCAGGATTTCTTGCTGGAACCCCCTTCGGCTGGGTAACATAAAGGATTAATGTACGGGTCTGCAAAATCCGTGATGAGCGTTCGAGTCGCTCCCCAGCCTTTTGAGGTACCCAAGGTGCCCGGTGGTGCGGGCCAATGACACACAGAGGGTCAATTGTAAGTGTTTATAATATAAACATGTGGAGCCTGAACGGGAAAAGGGAGATAGGACCTGTGCGGACATCAACCCATAGGTTTATAACCCTTACAATTACATCGAGCCGGAACCGAATAATAAGAGCCTTACAGAAGCTATCATTGGAGATAGTGAATGAACACAGAAGGGAGGAAACCTTATTATAAAATACCTTCCCTCCCCTTGTCCGGCCGAGGGCCCTTCCCGAGTCGTTGGACGAAGTCCAATTGTCCCCTGTTCCTCATTTTCCCTACCTGTCCCAACCATCTTGGGGCCGAGCCCTGCGAGGTTGACCGTAGGGGTCTAAAGAAGAACAGGCCCGCCAAGGGGATAGAGTATAAAGCATAGGAGGTGTGCGATAAGGAACTC